GTCCCATTGTCCTGAATCTGAGCGTAGCGCACCTCCAAGGTGCCATCCGGGAAAACAGTGAGCCGTCCTATTGTTTTCGTGGTGATAAACTGTTTTTGTGGAGAAAGCCACATGATGACAGGTGTCGGGTCTCCATCTGCTTGGCAGACAAAGTGGACGGTGGTGCCTTCATCAAGGAACTTCTGCTGTGGTTTCCGGTCTCGGATCCTAGACTTACGACACGTGAAGTAATTGGGCTGCAGCACATCAGGGAAGTCCTTGAACTCTTTTCCCTGAACGAACTCGGGTGAGGAGCAAGTCGGCTGCTGGCGGTTGAAGTTGAGCCTCCAGCGGCGTCGGAAAACCCAAAGCAGTCGGCAGTCACAAGCCAGTGGGTTGTCGTACAACGCGAGGGTCTCCAGGTTCCCCACCGAATGGAACACAGACTCCTCCAGGGTGGTAAGGGAGTTGCTGGACACATTGAGGACTTTCAGGTAGTTCAGTCCTCTAAAGGAATAGGGTTCAATCATTGTCAGTCGACCGCCTACCAGGTGGAACTCCTGCAGTCTGAGCAGGTCGTGGAGCCGGTTGCCCTCAATCATCTGGATGGTATTGTAGGACATGTTGAGGAAACGAAGATAAACCAGGTGCCGCAAGGCCAAATATGGAATCGATGTCAAGTTTGCATTAGTGATCGTCAGGGAGGTAAGATTCAATCCGTACAAGCAGTTAGTGGTCATGGTATCCAGGTAGGGCCAGTTGGCGATCTCCAGCACTTTGAGACGGTAGAGCCGCTTGAAGCTGTAGTCTCTGATGCTGTTGATGTTGAGGTTTCGTAAGCGTAGCGTGACCAAACTGTGTAGGTGTGTGAAGGCCTCTGTTGGGACAGAGGTCAGGTTGCACTTTTCTAGTGTGAGCTGCTCCAGGCTGCTGAGGCCGTGAAATGCCCTGTGGGATATGAAGACAAGGTCATTATCCCCAACCTCCAGAGAGTGCAGGTTGTAGAGGTCCTGGAACATGTAGTCCAGCAGAATTACGATCTTATTTTCACTGATGTCCAGCTTTGTTAGGTTACTGAGGCCCGTGAACACTCCCAGCTGGATGAGCTTCAGCTTGTTGCTGCGCAGTCCCAGAGTCTGCAGGCTGTAGAGTTTGTTAAAAGCCCCGGGCTCGATGGTTGAGATGGTGTTTTCACTGAGCTCCAGCTCTTCCAGCTGCGGGAAGGTGGAGAACTCATCTGGATTGATGGTTTTGATTCGATTCTTGCTGAGATCCAAGAGTCGTGTTTCCGATGGGATTCCCTCTGGAACGGACATCAGCTTCTTGCGGTGGCACAAGACCGAACGCTCCTGAGCACTGCACTCGCAACGCGATGGGCAGCCCGTGGCAGAGCCAGACAGCACTGTGCCCAGCATTTTAGAATGGGCTGCCAGCATGCCACCAGGAAGCTGTGCCCACTCACTTCCCCTGCTACCATCCTACCGGTTACCTGCACAGACAGAGAAAAATTCACAGACGTTGAATTATAAAATATGAAATTCAAGGCATCCAAATCAATAAACAATTATACCACACAGTATTGATCAAACTTCTAGTGGGTTATTTTCTTTGGCGAGCAGGATATGGCTCTAAAACATGAGTGAATTGTGTATTTATTGAATACCATTCATTCAAAGAGTGGAGAGGGTAAAAGAGTGTTTTACTGAGAGTTTGACTACTATAGCACAAATAATTTTCATTTCCAAAGTGTCAACTGTGTGTTTCATTAAATTATAGGCTCATAAAACTATGAGCTAAGGACTGCTGGATTATTCAGAACTGTGAAAAGGAAGAGCCAATGGCGTGTACTTGCATAACCGTGCGAATCGGCACTTTTGGATTCAATCTTCTTTGTTTTGACCCCAACTAGTTCAACTTCAAAGGCTTTTAACACTCAGTAGCACTCGTGCTAACTGAGCCCAGGGACTTGACTTGGAATCCATTGCAAATGTTACATCACCATCATAAGATATTTATGAATCCTGTAAACCTCTGGCGCACCTAACACAACTGAGCAGTGAGTTAGAAGGCTGTTTCTGTGTCCCAACCAGCCTTTTCACTCTCAAATCTTAAGAGTGTTCACACTTCCATGTCTGGGATCCATATGCAATGATGACATGGAGGCATGTGTGTGAATTTATCCACAAATCCACTTCACATCAGCAGGTGCACACATAAAATCGCTAGCATATGCCATCTGCGAGAGAGACCAAAAGACAAGAAATTGGTTTAAGACCGATCTGAAACACTCTCGCTCTCTGATCAATTACTAAAAGACATGCTGACCATTGAAATCTGTACACAGAGATTCTAATGCTTCCTGCATCAGCAAAAAAAAGTTTTGGAAGTCTTCCATGCACTTACACCATGATAAGAGTCTTTGAAATAACAGAAACACAACTACACTGAAAAAAATTTGGAGTAGGATTTACTTGAAAAAAGCTTGGAAACATTTTCACTCACAAAAGGCTAGTTAATTTACTAAAATTTGACAAGTAAAAACCTAAACATAATTATTAGTAGCTTTAAATAGACATTTTTAAGTTAAGTTTACTTGGGAATTCCCAGTAAATTTTATTGACTCTTTGTTTGTAAATTTTACTTAAGTAATGCTTATCACTGTAAAAAGTGTGCTGTTAAATAACAGTAATTTACTGCACTGAAAAAAACAATAAGATTAACTTAATTTTTCTTTCTTTTGCAAGTTTTCACACAGAAATATTTTAAGTAAAATTTAAGTATTGAATTAAGTAAAATGAAATCTGTAAATAAGCAAGTATGCTTGTTATCCTTTTAAGATAATATGCCCACTCAAAGTAATTATTACCTAAATGAACACAGAGACCTCAATACTTGGTACACCATACACAATGACGGTAACAATCAGTGAATAGTGTTTGAGTATGAATCGGTCATTTTGAGTAGAAAATGAACTCCAGATGTCACAAAACAGTAAGTTACTAAACCTAACAACAAAAGCAACAATAAAACAGTGTAAATACAACTCGAAAACAGTGAAAAGTGTAACCTTTTTAATTATTCATGCCCCAGTGCATGACGGGAAATACGGGATCATAACTTTGATATTTACTTAAAGAATCCTTGTAAACATAAACAATTCCAAGTAAAATATACTTGGAAACTTCAAACTTTAATTTCTACAACCTTAAATTTAGTACTAATATAGAATTTACTTTAATTGTTTTAATTCTTGCCTGAACTAAATTATTTAATGTAGAAATCACATTTGTTTTTATGTAGTATTTACTTCACCACAAAATCCTTTTTCACAAAATTCAGTTTACAAGATTCTTTATCTTTAAGTGGAAACTGTTCCAAAACCTAGTTAGCCACCTTGCCTACATAGACATCATCTGAATAGAACCTCATAACGGACTTATTCTGAATGCTCTACATGGGCAGCAACTCCACAAATTGAGCGCACTCGCAGAGGTGGACTTACCCATTAGGCAAAGATAGACGACCGCCTTGGGCTACCAAAAGCCAAGGGCCCCCTAAAATACTTTTCATATATTTCATATATGTTAAGCGCGGACACGTGAACGGTTGCTGTTTACGGTGTTTATTACCATGACAACCGTCTGAACCGTCTGTGCCTGCAGGTGTACGGCACTGTGCGTGCCATGAGCGCTCAGACTGACCTCAGATTTGCCCCGCAAACATTTCAGCAGTTATC